TAACAGAATCTACTCTCTAAGCTAAATATCTTTTAACTTAGAGAGTGGAGGACAAACTATATAGGCCAAAAATCGTATTGGACCTGACGAGGACCAATAACATCATAAATATATGACGACCTAAAGTCTTAGCCCAATCTTGATTGAGCCCACGCTTAGAATACCTTGGGAACTGCCTGCTCTATGAGTTGGGTCATCCCCCAAGTTAAGCTAAATTGGGTCTAGCCCATTCGTCCACAATAGTCCATAACAAGGATTAGAATCCTAATCAAATTCCTCTTTTAACAAGATCTCCGATCTCAGTCAAAGAGGAAAGCTTGAACTGATAAAGGCAAAAAATTCAATCTCTTTATGAAAAGGGAACTCAACTACCAAGTAGGACTTAGAGTCATATTAGAATTTGGACACCTGGGCTTCACTATATAAACTCGGGCTGACCCTCTCTCTTGGCATTCAGAAATCACCCAAAAGCTCCAGCATCTGTATTCCCAAGTTCACCACATACTCCAACTTCCCTACATCGCTAAAGCTCCCTTCTGGTCATAGGGGCACCCTTTGCAGGTCCATCAAGATTGTCAGTGGCTCGCCCCAGAAAAAATTGTCTTCTTAGAATTCAATTGTAAATTTTATCGTTTATAATGGTGGAGTTTNTGGAATTGAGATTGGGAAATTAATAACTTTTGCAGTCTCATGGAATGTCTGTATTGGGTTGTAAAAATGGATATGAGGGTCCTCCATGTTTAGCTTTTTCTACATGCTTGGACTCACAAATCTACCCTTAAATCGATTGATGGACTAAGACCAACCACTCCTACCACTCATCTTTTTCTTACCAATCTAACCTTCATTTAATTTCCTTGATATTACATTCAAAAATTTGAATATTTTTAATATATAAAGTTTACATTTTTCCCACATGCAATAGATTATATGTGATACCAAATTAAAAGTATATGTTAATATGTGTTAGTTATATATGGATATTAACATAACAATGAAATAGACACATGTATTACGCAAAAATTTTAAATTAAGGTTGATGCATATAAGTATAGGTAAGAAAATTAGGATTTAAATTTCGAAGAAACACTTATATAGCACAGTCTCACCACTTCACTTGGTTGACGTGGTAAGATCATCTAATAATATAATGACATGTATTGTTAGTATTTATTATAATATCTCTTTCATGCATTCATCACAATGATTCATTAATAATTACCGATTATCATTCATCAATAACCATCATCATAAAGGTATTTTTAAAAATTAACCATACATACCTTTGTTTTATTGAATGGTCTAACTAAGTAAATTAAATGAGGTGGTGAGAATCTCTCCTATAATTTTTTGTCTAAATTTTAGGGTTGACGAAAATATTATTGGGAAATGAGAAGAGGGCAAAATTATAAAGAGAATAGTTGTAATATATGCCTAATTTTGACTATTTTGGTGGGGATAACGAATGGAGATCTTTAGCCAAGAAATAAGAAAACTTGCATGAAATATCATAGTCCATGTTTTATTCTCTTGCCCTTTGTGTTGATGAAATTGAATAAGTTGTTGCAAGCGTGGGGATGAGAAGATGTTGATGTTAAAGAAAAAGAAACCTCACTGCACCATTGTTGTTCTTATGCTTTTGTTTTCATCAAAACCATCTATAATGCCTTCTCTCTTTTCAAAAAATTAAGTATTAGACTCAAAATTCATATCCTTACCCTACCACACACACACACCTTAGGCTTTGACAGTGATATGGGAAATGTAAGAGGGTGACATCTGCTACCAAACAGTCCCCTTGCTCAATTATTTAACTTTGAATAAAGCTGACACTCTATTTTTGATTCAGACAGATGGGACTTTCATTGGATTGCATCTTATTTATTTTATCTTCAACAGTTTTAAGCATTGCCCGTAAAACATTTTTTCCTCAAAATTATTTTTCGAAGTTCATGATAATAGATGATGAGATAGAAGTAGGGAAAGCAAAGGCATGCATGCATGCAAAGTTGTAGATATTAGGTCTATTTAATTACAGGATCAGGCCACTTGATTGTGCCAAACAAAATATAATTCAGGAAGGGACCCAGGATTTAATGTTAGAGGAAGCGAGTTCAAAGTTATGATAAAAATGACATTACAGGAAAAGAAATATTCTATTTACAATTTTTAATTGACTTCTAATTTATAGATAATATAAAAAATATTCAATTAATAATATATTTATCTTCTTAAACAAAAAAAAAAAATTATTTATTTAATAAAAATAGAAAAAAATTGATTTTATTTTTATATAAGTGGCGTTAATTTGCAAAATAAATTATATCAAAGATATAAACTGAAAAGATAAAACAGATATAAGAAAACTTTAAAAAAAGAAAAAATTTAAGGGGGGTCACCAACGCCACTAATCTATACATGGGCTCGTCCATGATATAATCCATAATATAATGTTAATAATATCAACATCAATTGTAAAATTATAAAAATATGGTAAAACATCAATTTATATTTTTAAAATTTAAGTTTTCATAACATTATTATTTCAAATACATGAGAGATACAATAACAATTTTTTTTTTTAGGTAAGGTAATTGGCCACCCCTCGTTATAACTCGAACTCAAGGCCAGAGGGCGTTTTCAACCATATGCCCCTTTATCCATCCGATCACAAGTGGATGGTTACAATAACAATTTCTTATGCTATGCTTTTGAGGATTATGAATTCGAAGCCACTTTGTTAGGATTATTTTAAAATTAGGATAATTATGTTAAGTCTTTTATTATTATCTTTTATAATTATGTTAAGTCTTTTATAATTATCTTTGATAATTATGCTATTATCTAATTAGGATATAACTAAGATTATCTTATTATCCTTTTATAATTATGACAAAATATCTTATTAGATTTTAATTAGGTAATTAGAGTTCTTTTAGGAGTCATTTGGAGTCAAGTGCAATGCTATATAATAGCATAAATCTAGATTGTGATTATCAATGAAGAATTTTGTCAATTAATTTCTCCGTCTCTTGTTCTTGGAAGTCTTTATTCCTCATATAAACAGATCCTATCCCAAACCCTATCATTGGTGCTCTCGTTCCCTTTCCATGGTTGACCCTTCTCGCCTAATGGCTCTGGAAGAACTTATCTCTCAACATAGGGCCAGAGTGGACGCTCAAGAGGCCAAACTTGACTCCCTAAAGGGTCTTTTGATGGCTATTACACTAAAACTGGCTGCCATTGAAACCAAGTTAGAACAAGAACGAAGAGAAAAAGAGCTCATGGAGGACAATGATGCAAGTGGCGATGGCACTCCCCCACCTAACTCGAGTTCTCATTCTTCTAGGTCTATGCCACCTTTTAAGCCTTTCCGATTGGAGGTGCCTCGCTTTGATGGCACCGAACTGTAACTCATGACCTTCTCCCTAGAAACCAAAGTCAATTCTCAAGTGGGCCTTATCGACCATTCTACCTATTATGTTACGGTTGTTGTCGGCCACAAGTCTATTGTTGACCTTCCCTTGGTCCCTTTGGGTCATAATAACAACAATCCTCCACCACTACTGCCAGCCCTCACCAAGCCTCCCACGTGTTTCGATCTCTCTCTGATGTCACTACCTGGCATCGTGTTGGCTCACGACAAATGAACAAGCGACTTCTTTACCATGCTGATTTTTTACCCCGGCAGGGGAAATTTTTTCGTCTCTTTATTGCCTTGGAACTCATTTGTGTCTATGATTTCTTATGGTGTAATATCTTGCAACCTTGAGGACAAGGTTGAACCGAAGGGGAAGGCAATGTTAGGATTATTTTAGAATTAGGATAATTATGTTAAGTCTTTTATTATTATCTTTTGTAATTATGTTAATTCTTTTATAATTATCTTTGATAATTACGCTATTACCTTATTAAGAGAGAATTAAGATTATCGTACTATTCTTTTATAATTATGATAGAATATCTTATTAGATTTTAATTAGGTAATTAGAGTTCTTTTAGNTTAGAGGTGTTTTTGCAAGATTTCAAACTTTTTTTTATCATTAGAGAACCCATCGTTTAACTGCTCTGATCGGTCAAACTGTGAATGCAACCCTCGCCCTAGTCAAGGCCCAGTCCGCTTTTTAAAACATCAGTTTTCACGGGGTGCTTCGTTAGCGACTTTTGTATCCATTGTTTCCGTCACGATGTCCTACATCCTTACATCTTTGTTAGAATGATGGTTTACTATTCCAATTTTACATGACATCAATTTGGTAGGATTGTTAATTTATACCAAATAAAAGAAAAAATGATCACATTATTTCTCATAGATGTAAAATCCACTACAAAGAAATTATAAAGACGACTCAAAATTTTTCAATAAACTACTAACATATATGACAGTTTTTATTTTTTTTTATTTTTTTTTTATTTTTTTTTATATAATGTATAATTATTAATACTATTAGAATAAAACAATTAAATTCGTAAGTAAACCAACATTCTTAGTTAAAGATGTAAAACAATAACCCTCTAATAGAAAACCAAACTAAATTATCAAGTTTTCCCAAATTATGATTAACTAGTTATAATATTAAATTAACTCAAACTTGTAATTTGTCAACTAAAAATGTGTATTACAAAGATATTTCATAGGAATTCAGTAATACCTATTCATTGTATTGCACCTGATATGGTGTTTGTGAATTGGGCTTTCAGGATAAATGGATGGAACTATATACTCTGTAAGTAGCCAAAGGGAAAGGGAAAATGTTTCCTGCAGCATAATTTCTTGAATTGATAGCTTAGCTCTTATAATTGAGAAATATAATGATGAAACTTGAACCATCATGAGATCCACATACATCCTGGCCTCAATGGGGTCCCCATAAGACCATTTGAAATTTTCTATATTGTCAACATACTATACTAACTATACTAGATCTCATCTCTTCTCATAACAACCACAAACAATAATGCTGCCAAATTAGTCATTAAAAATTATTGAAGGAAATTCATGCACCAAATATAAACTTCATAGCACAAGATTTTTCACATTACTCATCTTAGTTAGTGTCAATATATATTCTATACTCAAATAAAAGTCTAATTAATTCTATATATTTATCAGAGTAATACTAACCATAATCTCTCCATTAATTCATAACTAGTCACCACATAATTAAGCATCTATTGAAGCATATATATTTTTTAAAATTAGGCATCATGGCATGTATAACTTGTTGCCACACTTGCACCTCCACGCCTCTGGGTAATATTCAGCAGTCACCGGAGTCCCCGGTGGCACTGGCACGTGTACTGGCTGACATGGTGTGCACTTGCCGCACTTTGACGTGCAGCGTGGTGGCGATGAACCAGGCCCACTTAGTAATCTCCTTGCCAAACTCAGAGCAACCTCTTCATCTTCCCTTTTCTTCTCAATTTCCTGCAACATATTAATCCTCAAATACTTAATTATTTCTATATTACATGATATATAAAAGCTCATTTATAATACAGTAAAACCTTAAAATTTTAAATAATAATATTACTTAGAATCCAAGAGGTACGAATATCATCCTAACTTGCGCCCCTTGAGAGATGGTTCACGGGAATGCAAAAATTAGAACCTGAGGAGTACGTGGTTCCGGTTCAGGGGCTGACACTGAAGGCACAAGTTACCGAGACTCGTTGAAAAGCAACAGAAAATTCTACTTTAGAGATGGGGTGAAGCTAACATGCGCGGAAGGGTGTTGTGCCCCCCAGCTGAAAGTTCATCCTACATGGGCCAGTAGGGATGGACCACTGTCCTCGTGTGGTGCCTAATCATGGAGGATTATTATTGGATACATCGATCACACGGTCACAATCTAATCTTGGCAGGTGTTTTTAGCGGATATTAGCCTTATCAATTGTTTTAAGTTTGAATGATGATGAGAAAGATTAAAACTTTTAAACTTGTAGAAGCTAAGACTGAGAAACAATGGTAATTCATTTATGTTATATGCAGCTAATATTAGGGAATTTAAGATCCCACTTGTAAGCATATGCATGGTCAAAATTCATTGTTTTTCGATTTTTTAAAGTTACAGAGTTTTATGGGGACTCCAATTTCGAAGCCGGACTTACCGAAGAAGGAACTGCAAGAAATTTCTCGATTTTTAAATTAAAAAAAGAATGAAGAAGAAGAAGAAGAAGAAGCAACTTACATGAACAGACAAATCTGCTTTAACAGAAGATTGACACTTGATATCATCTGCATTTGAAAGAGAAATTAAGTGAACAATAGCCATAACTTGGATGATATTGAAATGGGTAGTGATCCAATTGACATAAAATGTTGAGAGATGGAGAGAAAAAATATATAAATTTCTTACCAAGAGAAGTGGTTGGTGTTGGTGAGGTGATTGTAGTGGTGAATAGTGCCGCTAATGAGATGAAGAAGATGGAAAAATAATAAAAAAGATGGGGTTTATGTTTATGCATAAACCTTACTTTGAAGTTTCTCTTCCACTCCATGAATTAAAGAGAGAATATCTCAAAAACCCTTGTTCTTAAAAACTGAAACTTAAAGCTAAAACTTGCACGTCCATGCAACCGTGAGTGCAAATTTTTAGATGATTAAGTTTATGAAGTTAGTCTAATGAGATTTGTAAGTGCTGGATGTGAAGATAAAAGGAAAGATGAAAGAAAATGTGTTGCAGATAGAGAGAGAAAAAGAAAAAGACACAGAGAGAGAAAGAGCTAGATTGTGAATCTAAGTAGATCGTCTCTTCCTAAGCTTTACCATGTTTGGGTGTTGGATTCTCTTTGCAGGCTTTCTGCTGTGTCTTTCAACCATTCCCAAACCCAGAAAATACTTAACAAATGTTATTTATTCACACACTCTTTCCTTTTATTGGGTTAGGTTACATAACTAAAATTTTTTATACAATTTTTTCACTGTTAATCCATTATACTTTAATAGTTTAAGAGTTGATGAAGTGACAAAATAAATAAATAAATAAATACCTTCCTTTTTATATCCACTAGATTTCAATATATATATAATCATAAATTTGTATTTCAATTAAAGTCAAAATTTTAAGTTATCATAACCTGAGCCTCTGTCATTATACTTAAATTTAGACCTAATATAGTCGACAATCTTTTAAAGAGTGAAATAAATAGTTAATTTTTAGATCAAGTGATTTTTTCAAGTGAAATGTGAAATCTTAGTTTGAATTGGTATTTAATGGGATCTATTCTACTTAAAATCATATCCACGGTCCACATGAAAGGTATATAAAATTAAAGGTCTTAAACTAATTAATTAATTAAAACTTTTTGGAGTCGTTAGTACTAAAGCATCCATCTCATCTCTTTTGTTTTTAGCTCTTTTATCATTGTACTACTCCTTGTTTAATCATACTTGTAATCTCAGTTGACAATGTAGATTAGTAATCTTGGAAACGCTATAATAATGTAGGCATTACTTACTAAATGCATTGACAAGTCTTTTGATGTAACACATATAAATTTACTTCTACTTTAATTAGAATAGTCTAACCAAGATGTCATATTAACCATTACATCTGAAGTTCCAAAAATAATGTGACATTAGACTATGCACTTATAATATTTTTATATAAATTTGACATTTTATTATCAATTCTTTATTTATTTTGATTTGAGGTTCTATGTTAGAAAAATTGGATACATGTGTCTTCCATACCTTGGAGGGGTGAGACCCGTTTCTCAAAGAGATTAGCATAATAATTTAAGGGAGAGCGACATGTTTCCACCCAAGGTTTGGCCAAACGATACTTTCCCATCCTTCAAGTTTAAAAAAAAACAAAAAATTCTGATAATATTTTACTGAAAAAAAAAAAATCTTAAATATTTGACTTTATAAAATTTTTATTATTTTTTAATTAGCCAAAAAGTCAAATATTAAAAAGTCAAAAAAGAAAAAATAGTTAACGCTTCCTAAAAAGTTTAGCAGTAATGCTATGAAATTGTTTAAAATTAAATGACTTTAATATTTATTTATTTATAATATCATCAATATCTCATTACTATTATTCAATAACCTATTAGATTTATAATGTTTTTTATAATATAATATTTTTTATTTTTACTAATAAACATAAAAAATCAATATTCTTAATTAATTAAATAAACAAAACAAAAAAAAAAGACATTTTTACACTTGAACTAATAAATAATTGAGTAAAAACATTGACTTAACTAAATTTTAATTTTATAATAAACTAATTATGAAATAAATTATTTAAGTGTGTTTTCATCTTTTTAGTCAAACATTAATAGAAAACACTAACAGAATCTGACGAATAGTGGAAAAGTGTTATTTTGAAACTTGACAGGTGAAAAAGTGTCGATTTGGCAAACCTTGGGTGGGACAATGTCGTTCTACCAATAATTTAAGTTCAACAACCAATGGGGTCAGGGCTGAATGCCGTACTGGAATATTTTGGTACTTGGCCTCCAAACAAATTAGGTTAATTTATGTTTCACTAATCACTTCAATTGGCTGTTCTCATTGCTACTACAATACAATCCCAGATACAGTTTTATTTTCATTATTGTGAGGAAACCAAAAATTACTACATATGTTGCCCACGGCCACATTTACCTAAGATCATTTTGATTAATTAGAGACGATGAAATGGGTTAATTAATTCAATTCCGAGAGAATGAGCTAATACGCTTGTGGTCCAATATTCAAGGTTTTGACCCGTCAAATACTAGGAAATATTCATCTCAAACTAATAACTACTAATCAAATCTTTAACTCTTGAAACAATATTTTTTTTTACGCCAGAAGAGTAAATTAAAAGCGAATTACCTGTTTTTCCCTTGTGTGTAGGAGTAAATTTTTGTTTTGTCCTTACATAGTTAACGAATATTAGAGTCAACAGTCTATTTAATAGTTTAAATTGCAGGATGTGGAACATTAGACCCAAATTCCAAGGACGTAAATGCAATTATCTCATTCAGTTCCTGGCTCAGTTTACATGGACTATAGGCAGATTCTGAAGGCAAGAAGGTGGGGCGAAAATATTGAAACGATTAATTGTGCAATGACCAGCGACGTTTGGCAAAGGCCAAAGGGTTCTTTACTTTTAAACTTCACTTTTGCTCAAGGTTTTTTATTATTATAAAGTGAACTTTTGAATTCTTCTAATCATTCATACGAAAACATTTTAGGGGCGTTTGGCTCCCTATTTTATCCATATTCCCAATCCTATTCTACCAAATAAATGTTTGGCACAACTATTCCAGAAATATACCCTATTTTTTAATACTTTAGACCCATAAGGTTATTAATTTCAATAAATGCCCCTAATTTTTTTTTTTAAAATTAACAAAAACCCCCCCATTAACCCAACTTGTCAGATTCGGCAACCACAGCTGGTGATAGCGGAAGGAAATGTACAACGGCCTAAATTCGACCATAAATGGCCGAATTACACCGATCTGGCCGTCGCTGACGACCAAGATGGCCGTTGTTTTGCCTTCCGGCCCGTCGACGGCCATAACGGGCCAGTAGATCTGGCCTTTTTCGGCCAGATCCGTGCGGGATCTGGCGGAAAAAGGCCATAATGATGCGTACGGAACAGATCCGATCGGTCTGTGCGTAACGAAATTTTTCAGCCAGATTCCGGCGGGGGCGGCCGGAATCTGACACTGCAGGTGGTGGGGGTGTTTTTGTCATTTATATAGTAGGGTCTTTAATTAAATAGTAAACCTAAGGGCTTTTCATAAATTTTCCAAATTTATCATCGTAATATCCCCTATCCAATAATCCAATATATCCTCAAAATCCTATCCAAAATACTACACCAAACGCACCCAACTTTTACAACACTTTTTAGAATTTTTTTTGTGTGTTCTACACCATTTCGTCGCTTAAAACAGTCCAACATGGTTCAAATAAATTTGACCATATACTTATCAATTCTTAATTCAATTAGTTCATGTATAATTTTCATAGCCTATTATGTTTTACTCTTGAAGAGAAAACAATTGTCTTCTTAAAAAAAAAAAATCATTGTATTAAAAAATGCATATTCTACAAGAAATAAATCTCAACATATATATGAAAGAATTTGAAAAGTTGAAGCATTATATGTTTCCATGAAAAAGTTGTCGATGACATTAAAAGTTACATGTGCAAATTACTACCATTGAAGAAATATAAAGAGATTACATTGGAATTGAGATTGGAAATTAATAACTTTTGCAGTCCATGGAATGTTGTATTGGGTTGTAAAAATGGATATGAGGGTCCTCCATGTCTAGCTTTTCTACATGCTTGGACTCACAAATTCTCCCTAAATCGATTGATGGAATAAGACCAACCACTCCTACACTATCTTTTTCTACCATCATAACTTCATGTAATTTCCTTGATATTACATTCAAAAATTTGAATATTTTAATATATAAAGTTTACATTTTTCCACATGCAATAGATTAATGTGATACCAAATTAAAAGTATGTTAATATGTGTTAGTTAATATGGATATTAACATAACATGAAATAGACACATGTATTACGCAAAAAATTTAAATTAAGGTTGATGCTATAAGTATAGGTAAGAAAATTAGGATTTAAATTTCGAAGAACACATTATATAGCACAGTCTCACACTTCACTGGTTGATGTGGTAAGATCATCTAATAATATAATGACATGTATTGTTAGTATTTATTATAAATCTCTTTCATGCATTCATCACAATGATTCATAAATATTACCCATTACATTCATCAATAACCATCATCTAAAAGGTATTTTTAAAAATTAACCCTACATACCTTTGTTTTATTGGATGGTCTAACTAAGTTAATTAAATGAGGTGGTGAGAATCTCTCCTATAATTTTTCTCTAAATTTTAGGGTTGATGAAAATATTATTGGGAAATGAGAAGAGGCAAAATTATAAAGAGAATAGTTGTAAATATGCCTAATTTTGACTATTTGGTGGGGATAACGAATGGAGATCTTAGCCAAGAAATAAGAAAAACTTGCATGAAATATCATAGTCCATGTTTTATTCTCTTGCCCTTTGTGTTGATGAAATTGAATAAGTTGTTGCAAGCGTGGGGATGAGAAGATGTTGAGTTAAAGAAAAAGAACCTCACTGCACCTGTTGTTCTTATGCTTTTGTTTCATCAAACCATATAATGCCTTCTCTCTTTTCAAAAATTAAAATATTGACTCAAATTCATACCTTACCTACCACACACACACACCTTAGGCTTTGACAGTGATTGGGAAATGTAAGAGGGTCATCTGCTACCAAACAGTCCCCCTTCTCCATTATTTAACTTGAATAAAGCTGACACTCTATTTTGATTCAGACAGATGGGACTTTCATTGGATTGCCTTATTTATTTTATTTCAAACAGTTTTAAGCATTGCCCGTAAAACATTTTTCCTCCAAATTATTTTTCAAATCAGGATAGAAGTAGGGAAAGCAAAGGCATGCAGCATGCAAAGTTGATATTAGGTCTATTTAATTACAGGATCAGGCCACTTGATTGTGCCAAACAAAATATAATTCAGGAAGGGACCCAGGATTTAATGTTAGAGGAAGCGAGTTCAAAGTTTGGTAAAAATGACATTACAGGAAAGAAATATTCTATTTACAATTAATGATTCCAATTGATAGATAATATAAAAAATATTCAATTATAATATAATTATCTTCTTAAACAAACAAAAATTTATTTATTTAATAAAAAATAGAAAAAAAAAATGATTTTATTTTTATAAAAGTGGCGTTAATTTGCAAAATAAATTATTCAAAGAAAATAAACTAAAAAGATAAAAG